AAGTTAAAACTTCCCAAATTTTAAAAAAAGTCCATTGTAGGGCATTGCTGTTGAAAAACAAAAAGTTGACTGAATCATCTTAAAGATACCACCATGGTTTCTGTATAAAACACTCAACTTTGGAGAAATGCAAAAATGAAGTAGGTCTATAAAAAACCCCAGCTGTATGGCACAAAGTGAGGAAATGAAACTTAAGAATTCCACATTAGTGACATCACCAGCAGTTTAAGTCACTTAGTAAAATAACAGCCATGGCTCATTTGGTAATGCTTGCCCAAATTGAAAGGTTGAGTGTGCCAAGTCCAACTCCCAAAACTGTGCTGTTTTGGGAGAATTTTGCACTGTCTGAGGTGCTGCTTTCAGTTCAAACTGATAGCTTTCTCAGGTAACTGCAAACAACCCATTAGCACATTGAATAATATCACCTTCCAGATGTTGCAGCCAGTATTTCTTTCCCAACCAACACCAAACATTGTGCATCTTCACATTGTTATTTGTGTAACTTGTGTGAAAATGGCTGCTGTGTTTCTCGAATTAAAACAGTGACAACTCTTCAAAAGACAATTTACTGATTATAAAGCAGGTTGAGACATGCTGAGGCAACGAAATGCATAATGCAAATACAAGTCTTTTAAATACAGCGCAGGTTAAAGAAAATGCTGAAAGCTTTCCAGCTGCAGTCTTGACACAGGCTCAAAGTGTAGATGACACCAGTTTCCACACTTTATACAATATTTTTCTGTTCATTTTTGGGCACAGGCATCACTAGTCAGCGTCTGAAGAAAAAAAAAATCAGAGTTAATGTTTCGGATCCGGTGGCCCTTCCACAGAATATTTCAGATCACCAGACACGAAACGTTAACTCTGATTTTCTTCTTGACAGGTGCTGCCAGACCTGCTGAACTTTTCCCACAACTTCTGTTTTTGTTCCTGATTCACAGCATCCGCAGTTCTTTCAGTTTTTAATCACCAGTCAGGTTTGCCTTTAATTATCTAATCCAGTTGCTATTGAGGTTATGGTAATGAACTGTTATTCGGAGCAGCTGCTGTCTACACAAAGGTATGCCCAGGGTATAGAGTTCAAGGATTTGAACCTAGTGATAATGACAAAGAAAGAACAATGATTCTATATCCAAGCCAATAATAATTCGATTCACTCCACATGCTATCAAAAAACAGTTGGAGGCACTGGCTACTGCAAAGGCTGAGAGTTCTGACAACATTCCGGTAATGGTACTTACTGAAGATTGTGCTGCAGAACATGCTGCATCTTAGTCAAGTTATCCCAGTACAGTTAGAACACTGACATCTACCTGATAATGTAGACAATTGCTTAGGTATGCCTTGTACTCAAACATGGACAAAAGAGCTGAATTCCACAGATGGATTGACATCTACATTATCAGGTAGATTTCTGACTGCACTGGTGCAGCTTGATTAGGGATGCAGCATGTTCTGGAGCACAATCTTCAGTACTATTGCCCGAATATTGTCAGAACTCATAGCCTTTGCAGTATCCAGTGCATTTGACAAGAAGGCCACATTTGACTAAGTGTGACATCAAAGTATACTAGCAAGACTGGAACTGGGGCAAACTTTCCATTGGTGGAGCTCAACCTGGCACAAAGGATTGTTGTGGTTGTTGAAGGTCAGTCATCACAGCTACAGGACATCTCTGCCGGAGTTCCTCAGGGTAGTGTCCTAGGCCCAACCGGCTTCAGCTCCTTCATCAATGACCTTCCCACCATAAGGTCTGAAGTGGGTATGTTTGCACTAACATTCAACACCATTTACAACTCCTTCGATACTGAAGCAGTCCACATTCAAATAATAGAATCATGGAATAGAATCCCTACAGTGTGGAAACAGGCCCTTCGGCCCAACAAGTCCACACCAACCATCAGCATCCCCCCCAGACTCATCTCCCTTTAACCCACCTAATCTACACATCCCTGACTACTATAGGCAATTTAGCATGGCCAATCCACCTAGCGTGCACATCTTTGGACTGTGGGAGGAAGCCGGACCACCCGGAGGAAACCCACGCAGACACAGGGAGAATGTGCAAACTCCAGACAGTCACCCGAGGGTGGAATCGAACCCGGGTCCCTGGCACTGTGAGGCAGCAGTGCTAACCACTGAGCCACCCAAATACAACAAGATATGAACAATATCCAGGCATGAGCTGAAAAGTGGCAAATGATATTCGCACCACACAAATGCCTGGTAATGGCCATCTCCCGTAAGAGAATCTAACCGACCTTTGGCTTTACCATCACCGAATTTCTCACCATCAACATCCTCAGGGTTACCATTGATCAAAAACTCAACTGGACTTGGCACAAATACAGTAGATACAACAACACATCAGATGCTAGGAATACTGCAGCAATTAACTCATCTTCCGACTCCCCAGTGCATGCCCACCAAATACAAGGCACAAGTCAGAAGTGTGATGGAGTACTCCCAACTTGCCTGCATCAGTACACCTCCAACAATACTCCAGTAACTTGACACCACTACTTGACGAAGTAGCCAAATTGATTGGCACCACATGCATCCCATCCACAACTAATGGTTAATAGCAGCAGTGTATACTATCCACACTGCAGAAATTCACTAAAGGTCCTTAGACAGCATCTTGCCAACTCATGGCCGCTTCCAATTAGAAGGATAAGGGCAGCAGATACCTGGGAATTCTACCACCTGCAAAGTTCCCTTCCAAGTCACTCACCAGCCTAAATTGGAAACATATCACCATTCCCTCACAATCAGAGTCAAAATCGTGGTATTCCCTAACAGAATTGTGGGTCTACCTACACCAGATGACCTGCAGCAGTTCAAGAAAGCAGCTCACTACCACCTTCTCAAGGAAAACTTGGTCGGGCAATAAATGCTGGCCCAGTCAGCATTACCTACACCCGACAAGTTATTAACAAAAGTCAGAATGCTGTGACACTTAGAGAGAAAGGACAGGGTGCGAGTGTTTTTCTAGGCAACACTGGAGTTTGAGTCAATCTTACTTAAAATGAATCATCTTTCGGATGAAAAACAAAGCACAGTGAGATGGCTGCAATATTGCAGGCACAATAATAGGAAACATGAGTTTTTAAAAAGTGAAATCACTGAATATTAACATAGAACATTACAGTGCAGTACAGGCCCTCGATGTTGCGTCGACCTGTGAAAGCAATCTGAAGCCCATCTAACCTAAACTATTCCATTATCATCCATATGTTTATCCAATGACCATTTAAATGCTCTTAAAGTTGGCGAGTCTACTACTTTTGCAGGCAGGGCATTCCACGCCCTTACTACTCTCTGAGTAAAGAACCTACCTCTGACATCTGTCCTATATCTATCACCCCTCAATTTAAAGCTATGTCCCCTCGTGCTAGCCATCACCATCCGAGGAAAAAGGCTCCCACTGTCCACCCTATCTAATCATCTTGTATGTCTCTATTAAGTCACCTCTTAACCTTCTTCTAACGAAAACAGCCTCAAGTCCCTCAGCCTTTCCTCATAAGACCTTCCCTCCATACCAGGCAACATCCTGGTAAATCTCCTCTGCACCCTTTCCAATGCTTCCACATCCTTCCTATAATGTGGTGACCAGAACTGTACGCAATACTCCAAGTGCGGCTGCACCAGCACCAGAGTTTTGTACAGCTGCAACATGACCTCATGGCTCCGAAACTCAATCCCTCTACCAATAAAACCTAACATACCGTACGCCTTCTTAACGCTATCAACCTGGGTGGCAACTTTCAGTGATCTATGCACATGGACACCGAGATCTCTCTGCTCATCCACACTATCAAGAATCTTTCCATTAGCCCAGTACTCCGTATTCCTGTTACTCCTTCCAAAGTGAATCACCTCACACTTTTCCGCATTAAACTCCATTTGCCACTCTCAGCCCAGCTCTGCAGCTTATCTATGTCCCTCTGTAACCTGCAACAGCCTTCCGCACTATCCACAATTCCACAGACTTTGGTGTCATCCGCAAATTTACGAACCCATCCTTCTATGCCCTCATCCAGGTCATTTATAAAACTGACAAACAGTAGTTGCCCCAAAACAGATCCTTGAGGTACACCACTAGTAACTGAACTCCAGGATGAACATTTCCCATCAACCACCACCCTCTGTCTTCTTACAGCTAGCCAATTTCTGATCCAAACCACTAAATCACCCTCAATCCCATGCCTCCGTATTTTCTGCAATAGCCTACCATGGGGAACCTTATCAAACACTTTACTGAAATCCATATACACCACATCAACTGCTTTACCCTCATCCACCTGTTTGGTCACCTTCTCAAAGAACTGAGAACATGCAGAAAGATGAGTGAACTGCGAAAACAGCTGGATGTTTCTGCACACAGACCTGATATTTTTTTTAATCACAAGGCCTTAGATCGCTGTAAAATATTTTGCTTGTCCCATCAGAAAACCAATATGCACACTTGATGCAGAAGGTGATTTGTAGATACTGGGAGTAGTGTAAATGTTTTAAAGAGCGTGCTAGTTATATAGTCCATCTTACTCCTCCAACATATTCCTCTGAAAGAGAGAGTCTGAATTGCATTTTGGAAGTTGTAGTCTGTTGGACCAACATGCAGATCGGTACTGCTGCGATTCTAAGTCCACCACTGAGACAGTGATGGTGATGCATTTGGCAAGTCAACTATTGCTCACCAAGCACCCGAGGAAAGAGAGCGAAGACAAAACCAGAAACATTAAATGGGGCAGGAGAATCCTGCATGCTGGCAAGGTGGTATTAGTATTGGCAGTGATAGAGGGGAATGAGGGAGGGAGGCACCAAATCATTACTGCCATAATTTTATGAATGTTGATTTCTTTTCCCTCTTACACAGAACATTTATATAGATTTCTCTCAGATGTTGACTGCAAATTCACCTAGGCTAGAAGTAAAAATGTCAGCCTGAACAGATTAAAAAACAAGGAAAAATTAAAGATGTAATATGGTATCACAGCTCATAGTACAATACTAATATTTTATTTAAACTTGTACATTGGACACAATAAATCAAGCATCCTAGTTCAGATTATCCCCCTGGATAAACCAACATGTGGGAAGTAGAGTAAACAAAAGTTTTGCTTCCTCTTCCGGTTGGCAAAATAAAGCCCCGACAATGACTTTATAACTAAAAACAGAAACTATAAAAAACAGTTGAGGTTACGATCCAGTTCCAAGAATCCAAGTCATTGAGAAAATGCGTTTGGTCTAGACGGTTACCAACTTATACCATTTACTTCACTGCGACACACCCTCAGTTGTTATTTCCCTATGGTCACCAACATCCTTGTTAATATGTCCCATCGTTTATCATCTGGTTCCAAATATTTAGCAGATACAAATTCTGCACAGTATGATAAACTATAAATATGTGGGCCAGAAAGCATCAGTTTTTAAATATTTGCTCATAAAGCCACCAGTCAGTTGTGTGTTTCAGAGTGTTTTTGAAGATTGCAATTTCTTTATTCTGTTCCCAATCACATTCTTTTGCACTTCAAGTCCATGCAAAGTCAGTGAGGTGCTATGGGATGTTTTGTTGAAGATCCTCCACTTCAAGCTGCCACATGCTCTTGTGCAGAGCATTACCAGAGAGATCAGTTAACTTCACAGCCCGTATGATAGGCTCAGGACTACATGACTGGACCACTCCCATCACCATCACATACTTTCCTGTAACAAAAAAAAGAAAATCAGTAAAGTTTATTACAATCCAAAACACTAATACTGTACCGAGTACTAAGGCAAAATGCCACACATGCTAGAAATACGAAAAAACAAAGCACTGATAAACTGTGCAGATCACACAGTGGAGAAACATGTGATGTTTCTGGTCAGTACCTTTCCAAATTGATATTAAATACACCAGAACACACTTTTGTTTTATAAAGTACTGCAGATGCTGTAAAACTATGTACAAGAAGATAAGAAATAGGAGCAGAAATAGGCTATTTAACCTCTCAGGCCACCCCACCATTCTAAAAGATCATGGCTAATCTGCCTCAACTCTTCTTTCATGTCAGTTCCCCACAGCCCTCACCTTCAAAAATCCATCCATCTTCTCTTTAAATTCTCAGTTATCCAGCCTCCACAATTCTGTCATCCCTAACTTCTGCTGAGAAGGAAGTGTGATCTGCTTTTTTGAATCTCTGCAGTCAATGGGGTTTAAGGACACCCTCAATGCCATTAGGAAGGGATTTTCAGGCTTTTGACTCGTGACACAGAAGGAACAGTAATATTGTTCCATGGCAGCATGCTGGGTGGCCTGGAGGGGAACTTTCAGATCACGGTGGCCCCGTGTATATGCTGCCCTTGTCCTTCTAGGTGACGGAAGTCACTGGTTTTGAATGTATTGGCAGTGCAGTCTCAGCAAATAGCAGCATTATGTTCCCAGATCACGATTTGATGATAATCTTAAGTTAACTTTGATGTCTTCCAGTGTGCGATCACAATTTGAGTTGCATCTGAATGCAGTCTGTCACTGAAATGTATTGAATGCAGGAGTCATGACAACTATAATAAAACTGATAGCTTCCATTATTTTGTTTTCTACTGCTTTGTAAAGACTCAAACAAAGCAGCATTTACGTAGAACCAGGAAGTCGGTCTCTAACCCTACTGAAGTATAAGCATAACGAAAAAGTCATCTTGCACAAGAATTGCACTGCAAGAACAAGACTACAAATGATTATATATTAAAATACTATTTTAGCGACAGGGCTTTTGAGATTTTGGAAGAATGCCACTGCATTATTTCTCCTCTTTCATTAGACGAGCAGTGCAATTTGGAAGCTAATCAGTGTCCTTTCTGGCCACTTTGCTTGACAAATGATGGAAAACCCACTTCTATAAAGCCCGCTGCCATGATTGAAGGGTGGACTGAAGATGCAATTACAATAGGCTGCCTGAGGTGGTGAAACATACTAAGAAAAACTACAACCGATGACATGTAGATGCCATAGAAATTGAGTAAACAGTCAACTTGCACACAACAAACAGCCATGAGATCACAAAGCGATAATCCACTTTAAGGATACTGCTCGGGTGCCTACAAATTTTTGACATTCACTTGGAGGCTAAGCAAGATCTCAGCTCAACACCACACCCAAGAGGCAGCACTTGCTACACAGCAGCACAAAGTATCAGCCTAGATTGTTTACCAAGCCGAATGGGGAGGTACGAAAGCAGAGCCAGATTGTTTTCTTGGCGGCAAGTTTGTACAGAGACAGCTAATAATAGATTCTATCTCCTACCTACCAACGCCCTAGTAGTTACTTTTCACACTTGGTAGCAAAAAAAAAAAAAATAATTTTTAAAGGAAACAAATCTAAAACATGTCGTGGGGAGGTAACATATTTCAGTCACTGCAACACCAAACAATTGCAGAAGACCTCAAAAGTACCAGTGGACACCCACATGCTCCCTCTCAAGGAGCAGCCAGGCAAAGAAGTTCTTTTCTACTCAAATAAAGAGACTTTCAGTAGGCACAGCGACTTTTTGACTTACGAGGCCAACACCTTACCACTTAACAACCACAACTCCACTGTTGAAAATCCAAACCAAAATAAGACAGTCAATAAAATCAAATTAAAATAACTGCCCTTCTTTTGAAGGGGCATTCAACTAAAATCAAAAATTACAGGAAAAAAATTTAAATTACGTGTTGGAATGGAAAACGCAGGACATCAACTTTTCATCAAGTTTAGGCCTTCAGCCAAATAGCATCAATACTTAGTGCTTTTACTTGCAAAGTTCATTTAGCATCATTTTAGTGATTTACAGGCAGTGACTAGAATGTCTGGTTGAACCTATCCGTGAAAACAACTGCACCTGAAATTCAGCAATCCAGGTTAAAATAAAAGGAACACCACCAGCTATTTAATTTAATCTGCTTTGGCTTTGCAAGTGCTGAACACAATAGAGTTCTCCGATTTGAGAATGCTTACAGATGAAGCCAGCATAAAAATGCCTAAAAAATACAGCAAACGTCTAAAGTATGATTGTTTTCTTTATTTTTCATAAAATGTTGGGGTCATTCGCAGGAGCAGCATTTTTTACCCACCTGTAATTACCCTTAAACTCCAGGTCCTATTAGGTCATTTGAAATGGCTGTTAAGAGTTTGCCATGTTGCTGTGGATCTGGCTAGACCATCTATGAACAGAATTCCTCACCTGAAGGACATTTGTGAATCAGATTGTTTTTTTAAAATAAAAATTGATAATTCTTAGTCACCAGAGAGTTTTATATTCCAGATTTATTGAATTTAAATAGCATCAGCAACTGTGGTGAGATTTGAACATATACACCTAGATTATAACCATCTCCCTAAACAGTAATGATTTATGAATGGACTCTTTTTAAAATAGGTGCCATGTTACTGCTGAGTGCAGATTGATTCCCCATTGACACACCAACCATTGAAAGTCAAGTTTACTATCAGGTTTACAGCAAAACGTACATCGGAGCACTGCAGTTTGTGGGGTGCTGGACAACAAGAATCTCCATCATGCTCCCAGAATAGCATAAACTTCAGCCAGAAACTACACCTATTATAACCGGCGTCCCAGTGCTGCTGTAATCACAAGACAACCTTCAGCTGGCTGTTTTGGGTTTAATAACAGCACAGATTAAAACAACTCATGCTCTTTTATACAGGACTGCTTGCTATTGCAGTACTAATTCAGCTGTGCCTTTGATTCCAAAGACCACGTGTGGCTCCCAGGCCCATTAATTACTGACAAGACCCAAATGATTGAATGGTTGTGCGCTTACTATCAGAGTCAGTACTCCTTCCTATAACTGGCATTTTCTGACTTACTGGCACCACCTCCTCCTGGGGTATGCCAAAAAAAAAATGTAATCATTACTCCAGATACAAGATTCAAGGAAACTGACTTAAGTTGCATGATTTGCAGCCAGGCCAACAGAAAAACAGAAAATTGAAGTGAATTTTCCCAAATAACTGCAGGGAAAGTTGCCTGCAGTTAATTCCTCATTAAAAAGAAGTGGAAATCAGAAAAGTAGGTGAAATTTTAAAAGGACTTCATCAGATTTTGAGTTTCAATGCTCAGGTAAACTGTTCTGCACTTAGTACACTCCAAAACACAATTCACTGAATATAAAAATGATTTTTCAGAAAAACATGTTTATTAACACGTTTAACGGGTACAATAGATGTGGGTTTGTGGGAGCTGTCAACTTGGTCACATGACTGCTACGAATCATCAGTCAGCATTTTAGAAGTTCAATTCTAATAACCTCCCCAACTCTAGCCACAGGCACCCAATTACTACCAGATAGATCAAAGCACCCATTGTCACCTGCACTACATTTACTGGAACAGCTGTTTGCATTTCTTTTGCACGTCTGAAACGATAAGCTTGTTTCAAGCACCACACGTAGCTGATCTCTCGAGTGTGTGCAAGCTTGTCAAACTCCTTACAGTGGAGGTCAAGTTTCTTTTATATAAACAAACCAAGACCTCTTATTTCAAACACAAACACCTTGTTTCTTAAAAAAAAAATTTAATTACATTTAGATGTTAGACTACAATATGGACTTGTGCAATTCTTTGGCACAATCAACCAGTCAAGTCAAATAAATTCTGTAGGAAATGTCAACACTGACAATTATCACTTTGAAATTAATCAGGCATTTGCCTTTGATCCTCTAATTCCCTTCTGACAGGTAATGACTTGTGCTGGAATGGTTTCACAAGTACCTGCAGCCACTCCTGTACCCTGCCAAACCAGCTATTCTTCACATTGGAGGCAATGTCCATCAGAATGCTAGGTCACAGAATGTTAATGGAGGCGGCCGCCATTTGGCCCATTGTATCTGCACTGCACATTTTTCTTTTTCAGGTAACAGTCGAGGCCCCTTCATATGCGTCACTCAAACTTGCCTCTACCAGAGTCACAGTACATTCCAGATCCTAACTTGCTGCATGATAGTCATTCCTGCATCATTTTTGCTAGTCTTACTAATTACAACGGTCCCTGATTTAGGAACACCATACTTTCAAACAAGACCCCATTAATGTCCTGACAAGCAAACGTTCACTCATACTTACAAACAGATTTTATATTGTACCATGTTATGTTCCAACTTACAAACGGACTCAGGAATGGAACCAGTTTGTAACTCAGGGTCTGACTGTATCTTTGATCTGTGCTCTTGCTCACTATCCTTTCGAGTGGGACACTTTGCCCTATTTAGTTTCAAGACTCTTCACAATTTGAACACTTCGAACAAATCTCCTCTCAGCTTTGAGGAAAAAAAGAAACAGCCCTAACTTGCATTGCTAGTTTATCGAAAATGGATCACTTCATTTTTCAGAATAATATCCTATTTGGTGCTTTTCACCCCATCCGACCAACCCATCTACATTGTCCTGTAGCCCAATGCTTTTCTCCTACTTACCACACCAAATTTCATGTCACCTCTGAATGCACTAATCAGACCTCCTATGTTTATGCCTGGCTCATCAATTTACACAAACAAGTGAGCCAGCAATGACCCTGTGATACATCATTGGACACAGGCTTCTAATCACAAAAACATCATTCCATCATCACCCTCTGCTTCCTTCCACTAAACCAATTTTAGAATAGATCATAGAATAGAATCCCTACAGTGTGGAAACAGGCCCTTCGGCCCAACAAGTCCACATCGACACTCAGAGCATCCCACCCAGACCCAATCCCTCAAAGCCCACCCAATATACACATCTCTGAACAATACGGGCAACTTAGCATGGCCAATCCGCCTAGCCTACACAATCTTTGGACTGTGGGAGGAAACCAGAGTACCCAGAGGAAATCCACACAGACACAGGGAGAACGTGCAAACTCCACACAGACAGTCGCCCGAGGGTGGAATCGAACCTGGGTCCCTGGCGCTGTGAGGCAGCAGTGCTAACCACTGAGCCACAATTTGCCAAACTGCCCTGGCTCCAATGGACACTTAGTTTCTTAACCAGTCTGCCAGGAGACCTTGTCAAAAGCCTTAAAGTCCACGTATGATACATCAACTGCACTAACTTCATCTACAGACTTAGTTCCTTGAAAAACACTAAACATAATCTCTCCCTTACAAAGCCATACAGACATGATTAATCCTTGCCTGTCTAAGTGAAGATTAATTTTTCCAATAGTTTTCCTACTAGAGACGCTGGAATCATTGGCCTTTGGTTTCCTGATTTCAATCCTACTAAAACCACAGACACCACCTCTCTCAATGCTAATTCAAATGTATCACAGTTCCCACTCCCCACCCCAATTTTTATATCTTCACCGTCCACCACAGGGAATAAAGTATTCAATTAAAACCTCAGCTCCATATTATGCCACTCTTGCCCCACTCTACTTTAAAAACACCTTTATATTTAACTTAATGTTACCCACCAGTGTTTTTGTTTGCTCTCAATTTTTTTAAGAGACCCTTTCCTCCTTAGTCTTGGAATACAAACTAGGAATTAAATCTCAGACCTTCATGAGATACACAGCTGATGTTATGACACACTTCGGAAAATTATTAATATTCAAGCGTCACTAATCCAGGGTGCATCGCAAATGTTTAATCTTTAACACAACCAATTACGAGATCTGATGGTTTAAGCTTGAACTACCATCAACATAAACTTATGCCTCAGCGCCACTTTTCCACCCACTCCCTTCAATTTCTTGGTAAATCAAAAACCTGCCCATTCAATATCTTCAATCGAGTATTCACAACCCTGAGGAAGACCGAAAGAACTGTGGATGCTGTGAATCAGGAACAAAAACAAAGTTGCTAGAAAAGCTCAGCAGGACTGGCAGCATCTGTGAAGGAAAAAACAGAGTTAATGTTTCGGGTCCAGTGACCCTTCCTCAGAACAGAATGGCAATGGGGCTATCAACCATTGTAAAAACAGATCTGGATCACTTGCATCCGTTTCACTCAAAAACAGGGACAGACAACAAATGCAGCATCACTCAACTTATAGAAGGATAGAAAAACCAGCTTCAGAACGAGATCACCCCTCATTCTCCTAAACTCTAGAGTATACTGCTCCAATTTACTCAATGCTCAAGAGCAGTCCACATCCTAACCTCCCCAAACTTTTGCCTGGAGATGTTAACGCTATACATCTGTTAATCCAGCATTGGTAATTTTACAAGTTTCTCCCTTTGCCAACATATTTTTGCAGTAGCAGAGGGTTTTTTTAAAAAAGAATTTGCTGCACAGGGAACTTCGCTGGCCGATGTCTGTCAAAGTTATCAGTGCATCTCATTGTCCATGCCTAGCTTTCAGACTACTGGCTCTCCCTTGTAAGACCAGTTACGCTGAACTCAGACTTCCTCAAAGTTAGAAAAATAAACCACAAACCAGTTTTGGGTTCTCATCTTGGTTTTAATACGTAGTGAACTCTCAGCCAAAGAAGTCATTCAGTTTCAGTGAGAAAACAGTCATCACATCTCCATTTGACCATTCCTCTCCTGCTTCTGCTGCAGCTTCACTCACACCCAATATCCTCTCTCAAATTAAGTGCATGACAAAGTTATTGTATAACCATTGCGACAGAATTAACCACACTGGAGAGTCTGTTGATCATGACAGATGCAATTAAACTTTCACTTTTTCATACAACGTAACCATTAAAATTCATGGCTCAAAGGTTCATAAACCAGCAAATTCTTCGACTGCAGCTTAACAATAGGAAACATAGCACACAATTAACACTTGCCTTGGTGCAGGCTGAATGTATTTTTCCACTGACTATATCATGGTCACAATTATTGAAACATTTTTTCCCTTCTGCCCACTACACCTTCATTGCTACCAAGGGATAATTGCACAAACGAGCAAAGAGAAGGCTGCCAGAGCATTCACCTGGCCTGCAGCATGGGGAAGGTGCAAATGCATCACCAGGTTTGTACCTATTCAACTACACACAGCATCGCAGACTCTTGCCATCAATCAATCTCCACCCTGCCTCATCACTGTCTTGTATAATGAGAGATCAGGAACACCAGTGGCACTGGAGCGTAAAAGCAGGTGGGGGATAACTGATAGGGCTAGCAGCTGCAATAGGCCATTAAAAAAAGTGCCATCAAAAAAAGTGCCATCAACTTCACCACACAGCAAGACAAAAATCAAATGTGCACACAGTAAGATCATTCAGCGCAATCTTCAGTCTCATCGCCTGGCTAAGTTCATTGCATCTTTTCTCCCCCCACCAATTTCTATTTCATTAGAGCAAATACCTCCTATTTTGGAGGTGTCTATAAAAAGGCAGACGAGATCTATTCCACCAGGTCATCACACATTGAAGTTAAAAATTAAGCCAAGTTGCTGGTTATGCCCAGTACTCCCTAGTCACACAATTTGTAGCAACCTTAATATATTTGGCAGCTAAAAACCTGGAGTGATTTAAGCCTTACTGCTGCTGGAATATAAACAGGGAAAGCCTGAGTTTCAGACATTACTATGCTTTAGGGCGGCACAGTGGCTATAACCAGGGTGAGAGGAATCTTTGACCATGTTGGTTGCTTTTCCGCAGTAACAAGAAGTGTAGATGAACCCAGTGGATGCAAGGTTGGCTTGCGTGATGGTGTGGGCTGCGTTCACAACTTTCTGTAGTTTTTTTTAATGGCCCTAGCCAGAGTAGTTGCTGTACCAAGCCGTGATTCACCCAGATAGAATACTTTCTATGGTGCATCTGTAAAAGTTGGTGAGGGTCCTTATGGACACACCGAATTTCCTAAGCCTCCTGAAGAAGAGGAGATATTGTTGTGCCTTTTTGACTGTCGCATCTACATGGGTGGTACAGGACAGATTGTTGGTTATCATCACTCCCAGGAACTTGACACTCTCGACCATCTCCACCTCAGCTCCACTGATGTAGATGGGAGCGCGTCCTCCTTTCCTCCTGAAGTCGATGATCAGTTCTTTAGTTTGGCTGACATTGAAGGAGATATTGTTATCTTTGCACTTTAACAGGTGGGACAGCATGGGGTTGCGTCTGGGTGGGATGCTCTTCGGACGGTTGGTGTAGAATCGATGGGCCAAATGACCTGGTTCCACAGCGCAGGGATCCTATGCTGCAGAAAATGCACCAGGTGCTTTTTTTTTAATTCAAAACACAAAGCTCAAATGTAGAAATGTGTGACGCTCACGAAACAGAGAAGGTTGTAATTTTGGACGTACAGCCTGAAAGCAGATGTCTTTATTCTGAAAACATTACCTGGCAGTAGCCTTTAGATCTGTTCAAAAGTTATATTTATCACAGTCCTGAGAAGCACTTATACTCAGGCCTCCAGAAAGCCTTCAAAGGCTGGCTGGGGGTGCTGGAAAGGGGAAGAGAGTTGAAGGGCGGTGGCAGGGAGGGGGAGACGGGGGGGGG